CTTTCTGTCTCTATGTCTCTCTCTGTCTGTCTGGCGAGCGCACGCGCCCTATAGTGAAAAAAAAAAAAAAAAAAAAAAAACTCTCAAAAAAAAAAAAATCATTGAGAGAATTTTCTATGTAGCCTTTATTTCTCTACAAATACTTTTTTTTTCTTTTATGAGGAAATGATCTGTTTATTTTCATATAACAGTATGTATTGCATATTTCCCTCATGGTACTCAATATTTTTTGCATCATTTAATGTGCTTCAGTCTTGTTTTAAATGACATAAAATGGGATCAGCTCTGTGGCTAGTAGTTGAGGAAGCCAATCTCACTGTTGTTATAATGGGGTTAAATCCTGAACCTGGAGGCTTGGAAAACATGTTTGGTGCATGTGTGTGGTGCATGTCCAAAATCCTGACAGGCTGGAAAAAGTGGAGAAGGGATTATGGTGTGACCACACCCCATTGGGAGACGCTTTTTCCTATTTCTTATTTCCTTTTTTCCCTGCTTTTCTTTTTTTTTTTTTTTTTTTAGAGATTTTCACTGTAGGGCGCGTGCGCTCGCCAGACAGACAGAGAGAGACATAGAGACAGAAAGCGAGAAATCACCCCCCAGGGGGGATGGTCACGCCGCCGCAATCCCTTCTCCTCCATTCTCCTCTCGGGATCTTGGGCACGCACGCACACGCGCCCGGCGTGAGTTTTAAGCCACCGGGTCCGGGACACGAACCGCGGTCGACTACGTGGGAGTCCAGCGACATAGCCATTACGCTAACTCTTGGTTCCCTTTCCCTGCTTTTCTACTTCCCTTTCTCTCTGTCTCCCTGTTTCTCTCTGGAAAGCACAGGAGCTCTCTGGCAAAAAATATATATATATAAAAAGACATAAAACATATAAAATATATACATAAAGTACATAAAAAGCCACTGCTGGGACCAGCAGTTAGCATAATGGCTATGTTGCTGAACTCCCATGTAGTCAACCAAGACTTGGACTGGGTGGCTTAAACTCATGCCGGGCGCATGTGCATGCATGCCCAAGATCCCGAGAGGAGAGTGGAGGAGAAGGGACTGCGGCATGGCCATCCCCCCTGGGGGTGATTTCTCGCTTCTGTCTCTTGGTCTCTCTCTGTCTTTCCGGCGAATGCACACACCCTATAGCAAAAACCTCTCCAAAAAAAAAAGCCACTGTTATATGAATAAAAAGAGAAGAATGGGGGCCAGGAGGTGGTGTGATGGTTAAGGCTCTGGACTCCCACATAGCTGGCCATGGTTCGAATCCCGAACCTGGTGGTTTGCTTTCTCTCTTTGTGTGTGTGTGTGTGTGTGTGTGTGTGTGTCTCTGGTGAGCACACATGCCCTATAGCAAACTTAATAATAATAATAATACATTAAAATAAAATAAAGAATTTTTTAAAAAAAGAGAACAATGTGTCTAAGATTTTCTCAAGTATGATAGAATAAAAGGTAGAATTAAGAAGTACTTTGCTGTTTCCAGAGGTCTCAGCCCTTCACTCTCTTGTTTCCTTGTCTCCAGGGCAGAAGGTACACCAATGACGTTGCCAAGATCTACTCCATCAATATCACCAATGTCATGGGCGGAGTGGCCTCCTACTGCCGTCCCTGTGCCCTGGAAGCCTCTGGCCTGGGCTCCTCCTGCACCTCTTGTCCCGCTGGTTACTACATCGACCGAGATTCAGGGACCTGCCACTCCTGCCCTTCCAACACAATCCTGAGAGCCCACCAGCCTTACGGCGCCCAGGCCTGCACACCCTGTGGTCCAGGGACCAAGAACAATGAGGTGCCAGCCAGCAGCCTGCTGTGCACTCCAGCCATGGCCCCTGGTTGGATGAGCTCAGAGGGTGCTAGGTCCTGGGGGGGTTCTCTAAGGGCTGATACCCAAGTGCTCCCCGACATGCTCCCAGGGTGGAGTCCTCGAGGGCACCCAGCCAGGCCATGACTGCAGGTGCTGAGTTCTCAGCAGTAGGAATTGATGTCCACTGTCCAAGGACTCAGTCAAGGCCAAGTTTCCCTTCAGTTGAGGGGCAAGGGAGATCGTGACCATCTTGTCCAGAGGGTTGTTTGGCATCTGCAGAGACCTGAGGGAAGGAATAGCAGGAGGCCTGTGGCTCCAATTTGGCCTAGTCCAATCCAGCCCGTTACCATGGGAACTTGCTCACTCTGCTTTGGGATGTTCGCCCAACCTTGGCTGGGGCACGGAGTGAACTGGCATTGCTGTTTTCTATCCCAGTAGCTTCTCAGGCTTACAGGCATAAGGATTTCTTTCTAAAGTGGAAAGAAAACAGTGCTGCTCTTCCATGTACTTACTGCATCTGAGAAAGTAGGGGTGACTAAAAGCTCTTAGATACTCAAGCTTTTAAATGAATTTGTTCTTTACTGAAAACCATACAGACGTACACCTGTAAAGCACTATTCACATCCATAAGTGCAGTGACCCCACTGCCGGCAACCTCTCCACCGCCCCGGACTTTTGCCACGGCCTTCTTCCCCTGGAGCTCCCTCTGCTGGTGTGGAGGGGGTGACAGCTGTATAATCCTGAGGCTGAAAGAGGACCCTGAAACAGAAACTAGCTGAAATAGGACCCCGAAACAGAAACTAAGGAGTTTACGGGAAGGCCAGCCCCTTAGAAGTTGTTTCCTACAAAGCACCTGAGAAAGAGGAAGCAGTTTTAAACACTGGCCTTTAGGCAAGACTTGTAGTTTCTCTTTTGAAATCCTGGACATCCTCCTGGACAGTACCTCATTGTCCTCTGCGTGAAAGTACAAAGGGTCATCTATGTCTTGAGAGGGCTCTGTAACATAGGCAAAGGGCAAGGCCACAGGACTTGACCAAACTGCCTTCTGAAAAATAGCAGATTGGGGCGAGAACACCGTGTGTACTAATAATTGAACGGCTGGGCTCTACAGAGGCCACTAGTGCCTATTTTGTTTCTTTTTGTGTCCACCCCTAATCCTTTCTTCCTTCTCTCTCACCTCTTTTGGGCTGGACCAGGCTGGGGAGAAAGCTGCCACCCCTTGCTGCAGTCCCCCACATCCAGCCTGACCTGAGCCCTCTCCCCTAGATCCACTCTCTGTGCTACAACGACTGCACCTTCTCACGCAACACTCCAGCCAGGACTTTCGACTACAACTTCTCAGCTTTGGCCAACACTTCTTCTCTGTCTGGAGGGCCAAGCTTCACTTCCAAAGGGCTGAAATATTTCCACCACTTTACCTTCAGTCTCTGTGGAAACCAGGTAAGGGATACAGGTTGACAGGGTGAGAGCTGAATAGGGGAAGCCAGTGGACAGAAGGACAGAAAAATAGAGAACCTCCAGGCAGCTGAGGGTCAAGGAATGACAGCGTTTTTAAAATGATTATAATTCTCCCTGAGGACTTCCCTCCCTAGAATTAGATCATCTAGATTATAAACATTTAGGAAAATAAAAATGTTTCAAATAAGGTGTCCCTTTATTCTTCCTTGAACCTTTATTCCCTCAGAATGAATTTATATATATAAATGGAATTGGAGATCATTTCCACCACACCCCGCTTCCTTAAAAATGCAATCTTCAGTAATCACTGCATTTGTCACTTGTTTTCTAGAGGCTGCATAAAATATGCAGTTCTCACTTCATCATATATCTTTGCTGACAGTACAAAAGAAAGTAACATCAAAGACTTTATAAGATAAGGAAAGACTGTCACCATCTAAGGAAGGACTGTCACCATCAACCATTTCATGCTGCTGCAAATGTTCTGGATTAAAAATTCAAAAGCAGGGCTAGACAGTGGCGCAGCAGTAAAACGTGATGCTCTGTGAGCCAAATCATGAGGGAAGGTTGCTTGCTCATGTCTGGAAACCTGTCTCCAGGGTGTACACCAGCCAGGTGTGAGCCCACCATCCACACTGCACAATATCGGAGAAGGATCAGAGTCCAGACTCCATTGGGTGCTTTATCTCTGTCTCTGTCTCTCCCATTCATGGAAGACATAAGTCTAAAAGGAAAAAGTGAGAAGGGGGGACAGCCTAGTGGTTAGGATAGCTGGATCCCATGTGGTCAACTGCACAGTTCGAATCCCAGCCCCAGCAGCTTGTGAAATATACCAGGCATGGCCAAATCATTAAATGAGAGTGGAGGAGAAGGGATTGCCTCATGGCCAACCTCCATGGGGTGGGGGTCGGAGGTGGGGGGAGGAACTTGCTCCGTTCTCCCTCTTTCTCAGTCAAGCTCACACACCCTCTAGCAAAGTGCAAAACAAAAAAACCCTGTGATGCTCTGTGAAGCTGACGCTCATGGGAAGGTTCTGGGTTTGCATCTGGAAACCTCCCAGAGTTCTCCAGACATGTGTATGCCTGTAACCCAGGGCTGGATGAAATGGGGTGGGGGGGTGAGGCATGGATCATGGCATCAGGACCCTATTGGGAGTACTCTCTTTTACTTACAAAATTAATTAATTAATTAAAATTCAAAACCAGAAATAAGGATAAATCCCTCCACTGCTGCACTTGACTAAATTACAAACAAGCCATGATTAGCAGTCATTTCAAATATTAGAAACGAAAGCGTGTCTTGGGCATTCAGTCTGTGGCTCTGCATGGTGGCACAGCCTGGCATCCACCACCTTCTGCAGCATGTGAAGACGATGATGTGTGTTTGCATGGAGAACGTATCAAATAAACTAGTCCATGCAAGAACAGAGCTAGGTACCTCTATCTTGTTAGAATTCTTTGAAGCGCTACAGTGAAGCCTCAGAAGTGACTGGGAGTGATAACTCAGGAAAGACACCAATGAAAACAAGCCCTGTGTAGGGACAGTCTCATTCACCGGGCTGGGAGAGGAGGAGGGATTTGGGTAGACCGTCTTCTTTTTTTCTTTTCTCTTTTATTCTTTTTCAGAAATGCTTACTGCGTACAGTCACAGTATAGATCCTCAGTTCAAAGACAAAATAACTCTTTGCTTTATTATAATGTAGAAATTTCCTTCTGTTCTTGAGTTCTTTATCTACTTCTTACAATCTAGAAGAAAAAGAGGTGCCAAATTTAACTCCATTTACAACAAAAATTATAACATTAAAATGTTACATTCTAAGTACTTATTCTGCTTAAATTTAAAATATCGGACAACTAATTTTATATTAGCAAAGTTACATATTGATATTCTGTAAATTTACTATATTTTTTTAAAATTTGCTGTAAGGTACATGCACTCATCGGAGAGAGAGAGAGAGAGAGAGGAAATGATAACTTATCCCCCGAGAGCTAGGGTTAGGCCATGCCACAGTGCCTTCTTCTCCATTTTCCTCTCTGGATTTAGGGCACAAACAAACACACACCCAGCATATTTTTTCAAGCCACCTCTGGGACTTGACCCACACAGTCAGCCATGTGGGATCCAGCCACCTTAACTATCACGCCACTGGCTGACCCAACACTCCTCTTGTAAAGTTCATTCATTTATGTATTCTCTGTAAGAAAGGGATAGAGAGAGAAAGGCAGCCTCAACAAAGTCCTCATACCATGATCCAGCGCCAGCTTCCACCTGCCCAGATCATGAACATGCACACATGCTACTGGCATGGACAGGGAAGTCCCAGGATGCAAACCCAGGACCTTCGTGTGTGGTCCAGTGTCACAGAGCACTGCGTTACCAATATGCCACCATCTGGCCCAAACTTAACATTCTTTAAGGGACAATGTCTTAACCTCTATTATAAAAATTCAAGGAAAGAGCCTCAACTCCCACACACTTCCAGATTTCTACACAGTGAGTCATAAAAGCCTGGAGAGGGCCAACAGCGGCATGCTGATGAAGGCAGCTGGATCCAACATAGCCAATTACGTAGTTTGAGTTATAGACCCAGTGGCCTGAAAAACACCCCAGGTGCATGTGCATGCGTGCTCAAAATCCCGAAAGGAGAAATGGAGAAGGGATTGCGGCATGGTCATTCCTCATGAAGGGTAGTCACTTTCCATCTCTCTTTCTGTCTTTTGCTGGCAAATACATGTACTCTCCAGAAAAAAAAAAAAAAAAAGACTGGGAAAAGGCAAACTTCCTTTTCTTGGTTCATGTTTGCTTGTTTAATGAAATAGGTTTTTCTTTAAGTTTCTTTATTTCTTTCTTCCATGAGCAAGAGAGAGATAGAAAGCATCTCCAACGAGATCTTTTTTTTGAAAGAGAGATTTTTGGACAAGTACACTTGCCAGAGAGACAGTGAGAAATCACCCCCTTGGGGGGATGGTCACACCACAATCATCCATTCTCTTCTTGGGCTTTTGGGTATGCACTCATATGGGACTGGCATGAGTTTCAAGTTACTGGGTCCAGGACTTGAACTGTGGTTGGCCATGTGAGAGTCCAGTGACATAACCTTTATGCCATCTTCTGGTCCCCCTCCAACAAGATCTTAATGTCACAATTCACTCCCAGGCTTCAGCCAGCCCGGATCAGGGGCACACACATGTGCAGCACATTAAGGGAGGTCTCCAGACTTGAACTGAGAACCTTTCCATGTGGGATTGCCTTGAGTAGCATTACATTACTGCTGGACCACCATCTGGCTTCTGCAATAGGTTCTAGCTGTCTCTAGGCATCCTATCTCAAGGCAGGGGGTTTGGTTATGGGGTCTGTTTCAGCCCTTGGAAGCTGTCTGTATGTGGAAAATGCTTCCAAACATGGTAGAATCATGGAACATCAAATGCATTTCACTGATTTCAGGAATCAGTTACATAATTTTAGTTTCTGTCTAGAATATTGATTAGGACAAGGAAGGACCCTTAACTAGTGGGCTGGTAGGTTAGAACTCCAGTTGCCAGCACAGCCCTGCTCATATAGGGCTCGCAGGTGACTCCAAGCATGCAAAAGAACTGGGGGCCGGAGTTCCCAAAACTAGGACAGTCAGGCTTTATTTTTAGCTCTTTTGTTTGTTTGTTTTTAATTTAAGTCTATCTTGTCATTAGATCCAGGATGAATCATTCCACTTGGGAGTCTAAAATTTTAGATGTGGAAAACTGGCCTTTTGGGAATTCCTCTGTGACCATTTGCTTCTTTCTTCCCACTTCCTCCTCAATCGCCTCCCCTCTACCTCGAGCAGGGGAAGAAAATGTCTGTGTGCACTGACAATGTCACTGACCTCCGGATCCCCGAGGGTGAGTCAGGTTTCTCCAAATCCATCACAGCCTATGTCTGCCAGGCTGTCATCATCCCCTCAGAGGTGACAGGCTACAAGGCTGGGGTGTCCTCACAACCTGTTAGCCTTGCGGATCGACTTATTGGTGAGTATCTCAGCTGCTCCAGCCTCACCGGAGTGTGTGTGTGCAAGAGTGAGGCTAGTGGGCTGGGAGGGAGCATGTCTCATAAGAAGGGCCGGACCCCCGACCTCTGTTCTCTGTGTGTAAGTGCCCCTCGGCCTTGGACAAACCTTTGGTTCACCCTTTCACGAGCCACTGGGGGATGTGAGGAGATGAAGTAAGGCTGGCTGTGACGGATACCAAATGAACTGACAGGGCTGCCTGCTGATGTTACCAGTGAGAACTAATTCGGAGCTCTAATTTGGCAGGGGTGACAACAGATATGACTCTGGATGGAATCACCTCCCCAGCTGAACTTTTCCACCCGGAGTCCTTGGAACTACCGGACGTGATCTTCTTTTATAGGTGAAGACAAGAGGCCAGGCTAATCCGAGTGAAACGTAGGCTCCTCCACAATCTCTGTTGCATCCCTCCCTCTCTAGTACCTACTCCTTTTCAAGCCAGAACATGCCTGAGGTTGAGAAGAGCTGCCCAGGCATGATAGCTATAGGCTGGGAGTTCCCTGATTCCACCTTCTTAGGTGTTGCTAGGACAGGTCTGCAGGGAGCAGGGAGATATATTGGATGGTCTGCTGTGGACTTCCTTTCCAGCCAAAGGAGCCTGCAGGATACATGAGCTGTGCTATTCCCCTAAACCAGTGCATTTCCCCCTTGACTAGGTATCCTGATCCCACCCTCTCCATGGCCCATGTACTCCCTGAGTGTGTCAGGCTAGAACCAAGTTCTGACTTTCCCAGTGAGGGAATTATTCAATGCTGACTCCACTTAGGGACTCTCCAATGATACAGGTGAGTGACTCACTCCCCACATGGGGGTGGGTTTTCTCTGTAGGTCCAATGACGTGACCCAGGCCTGCAGTTCTGGGAGGTCAACCACGATCCGTGTCAGATGCAATCCACTGAAAGCTGCCCCTGGAAGTCTGCTGCTGCCAAGGTAAACCTTACAAAGGGATGTAAGAAAGGCTGAAGTCTCCCTTTGTTGGACTCATTCCATCCCAAGATCCAGAGATCACTAAAAACCAGCAAATGAGAAAATAATTTGAGATTCATTACAGTGGGCTCTTGGGGGCACAAACATGATCTCAGACCCTCAGTCTTCAGGTGGCAAGGATGGGGGAAAAAGTAGAATCAAAGCTAGACTACCATGGTGGCAGCCACAGCATAGTGGCTAATGGCTTGACTGAGTCAGATTTGAATCTGCTTCTCCCCTTGCTCACTGTTATTTTATTTTTTTAAAAAAGAAATTTTAAAATTTAATTTCATTCATTGTCATTATTTTTTATATATATATTTTTGAAGTTGATCAGAGAGAGACAGCAAGAGAGAAGGAAAGTGAGAAAGCAAGCTGCCAGGTCCGAGACTCGAACCATGCTCAGTCATGTGGGAGTCTAGCCCCTTAACCACCATACTACCTACTGGCCTCTCCCACTGTTATTATGGATATGGTTCTTACCTTCTCCAGGCTTCTTTTTCCTTATGCATAAATCGATCATAACAATAAGGCCCCTAGTGGTGTTGATTTGAGAACTGAATGAGGCAATGAGACTTCAGGACTTCTCGCATATTTGGCTGTTATTAGGACTGGTAAAGGTTTAGGGACCCTTGCACTCTCTGTAACTGAAAGACCTAATAGCTGAGTGCACTAAGTAGACAAGTTTCTAACAAGATGACCACAGGACACCAGGCGCCTCCTAACATCCTTGATCCTCTTGCCTCAGTCTCCCAGCTGGGACTACAGTCACACATCACCATGCCTAGCTCCTTTCACAGGGCAGGTGGGAGAGAGAGAGAGAGAGAACCCCTCCTCAATGGAGCTTGGTCACATCACAATAGTTTTTCCTCCACTTCTCCATCCCATCAGGGTCCTAGGCACCCAGCATGTTTTCTTTTCCTTTTTTTTTTTTTCTGCATTCACTGGACAGACAGACAGAAAGTGAGCAATCATCCCCAGGGGAGATGGCTACACCACAATCCCTTCTCTTCTGTTCTTCTCTCGGGATTTTGGGCATGCATGCACATACGCTGGGTGTGAGTTTTAAGCCGCCTGGTCTAGGACACAAACTGTGGTCGACCACATGGGAGTCCAAGGACATAACCATTATGCCATCTGCTGGTCCCCTCAGAGTGTTTTTCAGTCGGACTGGCTAGGACTTGACTTTGTTACCCATAGGGGATCTGGCTTCCTCTGTACCTAACTGCTATGCTAGCATGCTGGCCCACCGATCAACATCTCTCTCTTTCTCTCTCTCTCTTTTATTGTCAGAGGACATGTGCATTCACCACAGGGACAGAGAGAGAGGTAGAAAGTACCTCCTCCCAATGGGACATTGTCATATGCAATCCATTCTCCTATCTTCCTCCAACCTGTTGGGATTTGGGGCACATACGCACATGCACTTAGCATGTTTTTCAAGTCGCCAGGCCCAGAACTAAAATCACTGTCGGCCACGTGGGAACGAGTTACCTTAACTAGTAGGCTATGGGGCTGGCCCCTGCCCACTAACATCTTGGTGGGCATTAGTGTCTTGAGGAAGACAGTTCAGGAAGTGCTGTTCCTAACAACAGTCTACTAGGGAGATGGGGAACAAGCAGGGTATCTTGACCTGGCAGTGGTATCAGAGCGTACTGCTGATGGTGCTGTTATAAACATCACAGTAAAGTGCGTAACAGACATCCATGACCTGAAGTCCATTCCTGAGCGCCAGGCCTCGACTGCAATCTCACCCCCGGAAGCTGCATCAGTGTGGCTATTGCAATATGTCACATGTCCAGCAAGGACAGGAGTCTCTGAGGACTTGCTGGGGCTGCCATGTGACAACACAGACACCATACACTGGTTCTCCCCTAATGTCGGCAGAACATAAATAGGTAGAGAGGGAAGAGCCCAGAGGAGGCTGGAAAGGTTTCTTATCATTAGGAAATTAGAAGTCGAGACCTATCTTAAGAACTAGTGGGGGGCCAGCTCAGTGGCATGGCACATCAGTAATGAGCTGCTCAAGAGAAACTGTATCCCACATGGCGACTATGGTTCAAATCCCTTGCCTGCTCAGCCCTAAAACACTCTGCATATGTGCACTAGTGCCTGAAATCTGATGGGCTGGAGGGCTGGAGGAGGGGATGGGGTGTGATCAGATGCTGTGGAGGGTGCTCCCCTCCTTTCTCTCTCTATCACGAACAAGGAAAAAAAGAACTAGTTGGAAGCCTCCTGGTAGTTTGTGCAGGGAGGGGCTGAGTCAGGAAGTGATGAGACAACAGCCCTCCACCCAGGTCTTCCCCATCTGTCCAGTGAGTGAGAGCTCAGGTCTCCTTTCTGCTTCGCTAGCACGTGTTCCGATGGGACCTGCGACGGCTGTAACTTCCACTTCCTATGGGAGAGCGTGGCCGCCTGCCCACTCTGCTCTGCCGCTGACTACCACACATTCGTCAGCAGCTGTGTGGCGGGGATACAGGTAGGTGTCCCTCTAACTGGGGACTTCCCAGGAGAGAAGGGAATGTGAGGTCTGAATTCCTTGTTTTGCCCCCCAACAGAAGACGACGTATGTGTGGCGAGAACCGAAGTTCTGCGCTGGTGGCATCTCCCTGCCTGAACAGAGGGTCACCATCTGCAAAACGATAGATTTCTGGCTGAAAGTGGGCATCTCTGCAGGCACCTGTACTGCCATCCTGCTCACAGTCTTGACCTGCTACTTTTGGAAAAAGAATCAAAAGTACATGGGGGAGAGAGAGGGTTGGAGTTTAGGGGTGGACAAGGGTTGGATTATTGGGCAGGAAGAACATCTGAGAGTATAAATGACTGGTCTTCTCTCTGTGGCATTGGCCACAGACTCCATGTCCCTGGCCAGAGACCACATATCCTGTGTGTGGCTTTGTCATTCTGACTCCTGGACAGGGGGGATATACCAAGTCTGTAAATGGCTGCTAGCTTCTCAAAACCAAAGCAAACGTATCACACACGTGTTGTTATTACTAACAGTACAAGTAACAACATCAGGATTTCAATATTTCTGTTATGCTCCGTGATCACAAAAACAGCCAGCCCTAAGGAATGAAGATCACCAAACCGAGAGCCAAGATACCTTCTACAGACCCTGCCCTGAAACCCTCCCGCTGTGCTTCGGCTTCCTTCCCCGTGGCGGGAGGATACACTGACAGCCCAAGCTCTCCCGCTCTCCTCCTTAGGCTCGTGTTCTGGTGTCTTGTCTTTCCCACCCCCGATGCACAGACTAGAGTACAAGTACTCCAAGCTGGTGATGAACGCCACGCTCAAGGACTGCGACCTGCCTGCGGCGGACAGCTGTGCCATCATGGAAGGAGAGGATGTGGAAGATGACCTCATCTTTACCAGCAAGAAGTCACTCTTCGGGAAGATCAAATCATTCACCTCCAAGGTAGGTGGCTCAGCCAGTGCAGTGAGGGCAGCCTGGTGGGCTGGAGAAGACTCCAGTCCGAGGACCCTCCATGTGCTGCACTGTTCAGAGATGGCTCCTCTGCTCTCCACTCCCCACTCCCCACTCCCCACTCTGTTCTAATCCTCCACCCCAAAAATCCTAAGTGCTGCCTTCTTGGTATTCCCACACCAAAACTTTCCCTCCTGGGGCCCAAGGCTGCTCTGGATCAGGCTCCTTCTCTTCCAGCATGCACTCCATGGCCTAGACAGAGTGCTGGACCAGTCATGCTGTTAGAATCATAAACCCTTCCTTCTTTGTGGAGGGGAGAAAAGGTGATCTCTAGCAGAGGTGAAGCTCTCCTTTGACCAGGGGAGGGTGCTATCCCCTAGGTGTCTGGGCCTGGTGCTTTGGGGACGGAATCATAGCTAAGCCTGGGCTGTTCACCACTGAGCAATTCTGAGCTGGGAGAGCTGGCTCTGTGTGGGCAGCTGAATGAGTGTGAAGCTCATAAATGCAGTGCAGACAATGCCGGTGCTGGGCGTGGGGCCAGCCGAGAGCATCAGGCAACTGCTCCAGGGCTGCCCTCTACAGCCCCCCTCTGCCAGTGCACCGCCTGACTGCTGCCCTGCACCAGCTCATCCAAACGGGCGTGTCTAGGGAGGTGGTAGGAGGAAGGCCAGGACTGGAAGGAGGGTGAAGAAAGGATGGTGGTTAAGTCTTGTTCCTTTGTGCTGACCAACCAGGGTGACTCTTTCGGCCTCCTTGGACTTTAAATTTTATTTTAAGTTTATTTATTTATTTATCCCATAAGCAAGAGAGATAGATAGCACCCCCAAAAGTGTCTCGATGTCACAATCTACCCCCCATCGACAGCCTGCCCTGGATGACGGGCATACAGGCACCAGGTGTACTCAGGGAGGTCTTTGGACACAGACCAGGAACCCTCCCACGTGAGTCATTTTCACAGAGCATTGCCTTTTACTGCAGTTCCCACCACCTGGCCCTAGACCTTCGGTTTTTGTACCAAAGGGAGAACAGTTTACCCTGAGACCCTTGAATCTGTCAGAGACTTCTAGAATTCAGCTAAGTTGCAAAACAGGATTTTTAAAGACTTCCCTAAAATAAATAAAGGTTTTCTTTATTTTCTTTTTTTAATTATTTATTTATTTAATTTTATTTATTCATTCATTCATTTTCATTTGACCAGTGAGAGACGCACAGAGAGAAGAGAAGGAAAGTGAGAAAACGTGCCACCAGGTCCGGGACTCAAACCTCAGTTGGCCATGTGGGAATGTCCAGCACTTAACCACCACGCCACCTGCGGGTCCCAGGTTTTCCTTATTTTCTGACAGACCCTGAAGGGAGCAAGAAAAATAGAGGGTATCTCATTTCCGAGTTTTCACCCCACCCCCCAACAGGAATTCGACAGGGGTTTCTTCTATTATCCATTTTGTATTTCTCCCCTTTGTACCCCAAACTTGCCCCTGTGCCAACAGCCAGCTCCTGTCACCATCTCTCTTTCAGAGGACCCCTGACGGATTTGACTCGGTGCCGCTGAAGACCTCCTCGGGAGGCCCTGACATGGACCTGTGAGGGGCACTGCCCTGCCTCTCCTGCCTCCTCCCCTTGGCACACTACCGTGCCAGCCTGTGGTGATTTGGGGGCCAGCAGCCCACGACACCCACTGCTGGCAATCTCTTCATTGTGGCCTTAACCTAAGAAGTTTGAATTTCAGATCTTTGTTTTTTATAGAGTACCCATACCCTCCTTTCTGCTTGCCTCTAACCTTCCAAATATAGCCACACTTCGTTTGTATATGGTTCTCTTACTCGCATCTCCTTTCTCAGAACGGTCCAGCCACCAGAGCTGTAGCTTTGTCTGCCCATAATTCTTACAGCTCTGGATTGAACATATTTCTATCTTTTAAACTGGAGACACTACTTCGTCCGTCCTCTTACTTAAGGGCAGAAACATCAGAGAGTCTTCCTGATCATAGGCCCTCAGCTCATGATCTCTTAAGGAGAGAGGCTGAATGAGGAGGGTGTTGGGGCTCCCTGATGGCCAGTCTTCATGGTAGCCTGGATTCATTGCTCCCAAACCACTGGCTCAGACAGTGTAACAGATAGTCTGAGGGCAAAGTGAGTAAGGCTTGGGTAAGAAACGACTTGCTAAGCACAGAGAGGCAAGAGGAAGGGTGTTCTGTTTCGTTGTTGTAAATCAGGTACCTCACTCCCTTCTCTTACGTGATCAATATTCTTACTGAAGCCAAAGGAAAAATTTATCAAGAAAATGCCCAGATCTTGGGTGGATTTTTCCCCCCTATTTATTATTATTTTTAAACCATTTACCGTGTCCCTAAAGAAACCCAGGTCAACCCCAAACCCAGATATTCCAGCCTTATCCTCTGCTGGTTTTTACCCACAAATATGGCGAACTCCTGCCAGTAAGGAAATCCCCCATCCTTGAGTGCCCCAGTCCTAAGGACTTGGCTCATATCTGGAACAAATGTGACAAATACAATCTCTATTTTTTTTTAGAGATTTTGCTAGAGGGCATATGCGCTCGCTGGAGAGACAGAGAGATGGAAAGAGAGAAAGTAAGAAATCACCCTCCCAGGGAAGATGACCACACCGCAATTCCTTCTCCTCCACTTTCCTTTCAGGATTTTGGGCATCCACACACACATCTGGCATGAGTTTTAAGCCGCCAGGTCTGGGTCTTGAGCCATGGTCAACCATGTGGGAGTCCAGCGCCTTAACCACTATGCCACCCTCTGGTCCCAAGATTATCTTATTTTGAAGAGAACAAAAGGAAGGCCAAGCTTTTCTTGAGGCTATATGGAGCATCAAGGCCACAGTGGCATGGACCTGAAGTGGCCATGATGGCTGCTTCTAAGCTTAATTTATCCGCTCCGCTGCAGAATAAAGGACTCCTAGGTTGGACAAAAATCTATTAAATTACAGGCCCATATCCCAGCAGCAGAACCAGACCAGTCTTCAAGGAGGGAAGACTAGAGGAATGTAACAAGATGCTCACTAAACTAGAATACCTCTTACTTGAAATCCCCCATTCTTCCCTTGTTCCTGTTCTCATTTCTCTGATGTGCTTAAAAGCTGGAAAGACTTCCGATCCCAACTTCTGGCAATACCCCTTTAGAAAAGTGAGTAGAGTGGGTGTATTCTGTTTGCCTTCTCCTCACTTTTACACCAACTATAATTTATGGACTTAAAGTACCAAAACGGGTAAAACCAGAGCAAGACTTTCAATTACTTTTTTCTTTAAACTGCTGGTGATTCTCACGCCTTCACTTTTAAGCTAGAATGGCCAGCCCTTGGTCAAGCCCCATTTGCTCATGGTCTGTGCCTGTGCCCATGCCCTAGCTCCCGTGACAATTAGGTGACCAGATGGTACGTACAGATTGGAGGCTAGGTTGGCTTGGTTGTGTGTGGGGGTGGGGCAGGAGGTTACCATAGGGCAGGCATGCTCACCAGGGAAACAGAAGAAGGAGAGAAGAAAGCACCCCCACTGGGGCATGGTCATGCTGCAGTCCCTTTCCACCAGGATTCTGGGCACACGTATATAATAAGTATTTGACTTGTTTTTCAAGCTCCGCAGGGCCAGAATTCAAGCTGTGGTTGGCCACGTGGGATCAGCTCCCAATGCACAGGGCTTAACCACTGTACTGTGGGACCAGCCTGGAGATGGCGTCTTTTTCTTTCTTCCTTTTTTTTTAAAGATGCACACATGTGCTTGCCAGGGACAGAGAGAGAGAGAGAGAGAGAGCAGGATAAAGCATCTCTCAATGGGGTATAGTCATGCCACAATCTCTTCTCCATTTCTCCATCCAGTTGGGATTTGGGGGCATGCACTCCCAGTGTGTTTTTCAGGTTGGAATTTGAACTGTGTGTTCAATCACTTTGGGATCTGGCTTCCCCAGCCACCAGGGGCCAACCCGGAGCTGGTACTTCTACATGGTTTGTCTGCCACACAATGGTTTGCTCCTCTGATGCTGCCTGGCATTGGTTTACTGAGTGTCAGTGCGAACTGAGCCATGCTGTGACTTCTGGCCATCAGCAGCAACAGTGATGGCAGGGCGTCTCTCTCATTCAATAACTCTAGTAACTTTTCTTCAGGTATCCAAATTCCTCTCCTTTTGTGGGAGGGAAGTCAGGCCTTTAGAACCTGTGGCCATGTAAGAATTTCTCCAACAAATGCAGATCCATAGCTCCAAAGCCCCAGTCTAAGGTCTTACATAGCCTCAGCGACAACTGGGCATTGCCCTCCCACTGCATAACCTTCTTCTGTGACAAAGACCACAGAAATGCTCAGTCTTTTCTGGAAGCAGCAGGAGAAAGTACATACTTATTTGGTTTCTTTAATCTCACATCTCGAGTGCCCCCAGGGCATTCTCTCCTGATTCCGTAATAATACTTTAAGTACCTCCCTTTTTCTAGCCCTACCCTACTGACTTTGCTGGTCTTTCCTGTGCCTGTCAGGAACCCTCCTGAGTTACTGCTGTTGGAGTCATCTTTTGCCCCCCACTAGCACCTTAGACATATCAGACATTCTATTAACAGCTTTATGGAGATATAATGCCAAACAATACCTCCAGCTGAACATACAATTCAACGGCATTTGACCTACACATAGTTATGCATCCACTTTAGAGCAGACACATATTGAGTTTTCTATGGAAGACAAGCTTTAGCTCTTGATCCAGGGCTACAGTGGTATATACAGTACTGGGGGAGGAAGTGTAGGCTCAGGAGAGAAATATTTACATCCAGTTTGGTTGCCAAGAGTCCTAGAACACACAGTACCTCCCATCCCATAGTCATCACCTACATTTAACTGGGAATACAAGTGAAGACTGTGATGCATCCAAGGACCAGGGGATTTCTTACGCCAACAAAACTTTTGTTGTTGTTGTTCTGACTCTATATTAATGATAAGATGGACTATATTTATACAACAGAGACTTTATAATGGATTTTTCAGCTTTATGAAATCAAATTTTTGTCTCATCAGGACTGGATGGATTTCCTTTTTACTTTCTATTCCAAGCGTTTATAGTTTGTTAAGGGGTGGGGATTGCATGTCACAATTTTTGTGTGTAAAATAAAAACATACCTTTTGAATTGTTTTTCTTGAACATGGGTTGGGTGGCTGGATGGGCAAGTGGGGAATGGTTTCTTGAAGCTTAAACTGAAGAGAAGGATTCTAGATCCCCAGAGAGAGGAAAGAGCATAGACTCTGGAGCAAGATGAGCTGGGCTAGAAGCCTCTCACCACCTGTGATGAGTCAGTCACTAACCACAGCCTCAGTTTCCACAAAAATCAAATGCATCTAATGATACCTTACCTCCCAAGACTGGGTGAGAGTCAAAGACATAACATACAGAACACTTAGTAGGTTAGTTTCCTTCCCTACCAGCTCACATTTCTCATGGATGGCATGAGGCCATGTAGCAATATAACCTCAAATCCAAGGAAAATGAGTTTCTTTCGGTATGAGGTGGACTATTACATGCTAGATGTGGAGAAACTCCTAGAGGACACCAAGGAGCTACCATTTCCCAGGATGGCTGGGCTGTCCTGCTTCATTGCTTTGTTTTGTTCTAGAAATAGGCACTTGACTCCCAAGAAGAATTCTCTGGTAGATGAGTTTGGGATTTCACAGACTTCTCAGTCTGAACAGCCCCTAGTACCAGGTGTTCCACATGAGGGTAATTCTTACCCTACAAAGAGGCCTCTCTTCTTTTCCTGTTATCTTTTTTTTTTTTTTTTTTGAGAGAG